TGCAGTTTCTAGATTCAGAATGAAGAGAAGAAATACACACAGCTACTAAAGTGGACTCAAGAGACAAAGGAATTCAAAGTGTATAACTAAACACTAATAAAAGCTAACAAAAAGGTTGTATGGAGTAAACTGGTGGGGAGATGAAGTCTCACTACTTCCTCATTTTATATTTGAGAGCTCTCCAGTTTGGTTTTATTGCAGCAGTACAGTTGCACTTAGTTTCAATAGAAATTTACATGGGAGGAAGAAATTTGAGGACTGGTAGTCAAGTCTTCAAATGATATAACTCAGCATAGGTTCATGGAAAACGCCAAATCCTTGGCTAAACAGGGCCAACTTGCATCAGTCTATACAGTCCTTCTAGGAGCTGTGAGGGACATGGGGTCAAAGCAGAAGCACAGAGCCACCACTTCAAAACAATACAACGTGGAAGATCTTAACTTGCACCAAGATTCTTACCTCAGGAAGAGGAATACCTACCTGTGAGTATGAGAACTCCAGCCCAGTGACAGAGAACAGTACTTCTGCACATGCAAGAAGAAAATACTGAGGGATCTGCCAAGCCATATGGACTTTACTTGGTAAAATATCTTCAAAGTACGTAACATTAAGTATGCTAGCAAAACACTAGAAGTTGCAAAAAGCATGTTAGGAACAGTAATAATGAGTGTACACAGTTAAGGCATTCTAAGCCATTCTATAATTATATAGAAAGTTCAGAGTAAATAACAAATATTGCACATGAAGCACTGCATACCTAGTTATAAAAAAATAGCTTTTTTACAGCAGATTTCATGCAAATCTGTAGTGTCTAACAGGGCTAAAGGTTTAAGGCCATTAGTGGTGATCATGAATTCTTGCATTATGTTATTACTGTAACCATCATTATTTTTATAGTTTAGTTAACAATGGCTTTGAGTCCTGTTTAGGATACCAGTATTCTATCATCTATACTTAAAAACAAGAGGAAATTAAAGGATTAAAGACAAGAGGAATAATTCTACAAGTGATTTTTTTAATTAAAGAAAAGTATCAGCATGGAAAGGAATTCTATCTATATTGTCCATCCAGTAACAGTGGCAACTCACATCATCAAGTGAAATGGTATAGGCAACTCCATATTCAAGTATCTTGGAAGAAACTACACAATAGGTCAGAGCTGTTGAAGCGCTAATGGTATATGGCCTGAAAAAGAAAAACCCAAACCCCACAGTTCAGAACATAGGTGTTGTCAATTGTGTGCAGCACATAATTTAAAAAAGCTCTGTGCCCTTTTCCCAAGGACAAGTATGTGTAGGAGATTAGATTAGGATAAAAGAAATGCTTACCAGCTTGGATTTGGAAGAATGCTGTAATTACTGACAGAAAGAGGATCCAGTTTTCCAAATCTGATGTTGTCCATTAAAACATTGGCGGTTAAAGGCAAATTGTTTATGAACCTTTAAAATGAAGGAGTGATTAAATACGACAAAAAACATACAGAAGTCAAAGAATCCAGGTTTTACTTTCAATAATATATTGGCAGCACAACAAGTATCGAGTCTTCCCATTGAAGGCCTTTTTTTAAAAAAATCAATTAACATTTTGGAAAAAACTCTAAATCTCCTAGAATTGTAGCTAATACAAAAAGCCAGTTAGATCCCCATCAGCCCACTACCTCAGGAGAACATCAAAAATGAGCCACTACTACAACCACTAGGAAATGCATCTACAAGTGGGAGATGCACAAGAAAAGCAGAGAGGGGAGAGGTGATCTTGGATACCTCATATGCAGGATTAAAAATGAGATATAGATATGTAATCCATGCCATTTGTTCAATAAAAAAAAAAATCTAGGCAATGGAATGAAGCATACACTTCCAATTTTAGCTAAATTACACCCAAGCAGGTGTGCAAGATAACTTAAGTGAATCGTGACTCAGACATTATCCCATCCCCTAAAACGTCAAGGGAAGTGTCCAGCAAGATGTGAGTTCCTAAAGTATAGAAAACTTTATTTCAACAAGAAGAGGCTACCCAAAGACAGATTGAAGAGAGAGTCACATTAGTGTCAAAATTTAGGTAACATAAAAAGCTGTACCTGACGAGGCTTTTTCTGTTTTCTGGTTTTGATGTGACATTGTCCTCTACCTAGTGGAAGAGACCATTATCAAAATATGTTCTTGGCATCAGAGAACACCTTAAACATGCACTATTACACAGCAGTGGGACTTAACAGAGGCTTCAGAGCAAGACTCCAGACCTTCCTCTTTAGGTCCCTACTAGCACACACATCTACTAGCAAACACTGTATGACCACACACCTAAGTCTTGGTGAAAGTGTAGTTGTCAAGGTACATAAGAAATTGGTAATTTTTTTTCTAAAGGACATCCTGGTGTACTCTCTGCAGTTTACCAGTCTTACTGGTCCAGCAGAGACAAGGAGAGACAGAAAACAAGACAGTGGAAAAAATTTATCCAGAGCTTGTCCTCTCAGCCTCACACACTCCACATAGATCGTTGTCAGAACATTGATTCATATATTAAGAAATAAGCAGACTTACCCTAGTAGAATTGATGTCTGTTGGACGCTGTTTAAATGCCAAAGTGTAGCGTTGTTTCTCTTGCAGGTCCAAATGCTCAGTTTTATTTAGATTTGCAGAAATTATGTCTAATGATTGCAGTTTAGAAGTCTCAAATGTCATGTAGGCAGTCTACAAAGACAAATTGCAATGGATTTCTGTGCAACTGTGTACTTGTCTATTGAGAGAATGTTACGGGCTCTGGGAGGGTCAGAAATTTACACATGTTACTTCTGAAGTGCCAGAGATCATGAACATCCCCTCATTTTCATTTTTGATTTGTTTTCTACATCAAGCATTAATTCCATTTGATCATGATTTTTTATTAGTTTAATTTGTTACACAAGCTTCACAGTTACATGAGCTTCCCACAAGCATTATGGAATAGCTGCTCTACTTTCCTATTTCTTGCTCCAGATAAATCAGGCTTACCAAAAACACCCAATAAAATTCTGTTCAGCCGCAGAAGCACTAGCATAAGATGTGATGCAGTATTTTCCAAAAAAAGCAGTAATGCTATGTTTTAAATATTCAAAACACATTTATTCAACATAAAATACTTAAACCATTAATAAACATGTTAGTGCTACACTAAAATAGGCTCTTTGTTTTATGGGATTATCAAAAGCACTTTATAATCCACATCTGGATGATAAAGTGTCTGTAATAGGAAGCAGACCACTCTATACCTTTCATTTTCATCTGTGTACCATGGTACATCAATTCCCTGTCTGTATATAGTGTGGGTGCCCTTATCTTCTCCTCACAACTCTGCTCCTGTGAGAGACAAATTTGGAGGAGGTTGGAATAAGACCTCTCCAAGAGAAACAGAGCTACAGGCTATCAGAGAACACACTTTCTAAGTTTCATTATCCAAAACATCCATCAGAGCCACCACATTTTGCTGTCAATAGAATTACCAATGCTGTGCTGTATTAGAACCTGAATAGTTCTTTGGCAGCAAAACATGAAGCCACAGAAGTTCCCTGTTCAGGTAAGTCATCACAGTGTCAATCCTCACAGTGATAACAGCAACTCACTAGAGCTGAATGGACATTAACTGCAGGAAAGGGCTACTTTTAGGAAATGGAGCCTTTTTAACAAGAGTGAAATTTTCATCTAGTTCCAAATTTCTTAAGTTTATGGAAGTTTCTTGGGAAAACCTGTAAAAAAAACTGGTAATACCTCAAACATTGACATAGTTACCATTTCTTCATTCACTGTGTTTTCAGTAACAATTCATTCCACAGTACGAAAAAAAAGAGAACTCATTAAAATGATTGGAGTAAAAACGCTGTAGAATAAATAATAGAATAAAATAAAGGTAATGTTGCAGTGTGTTTTAAACTTCCGGGTCCCTTACCCAGGTGTGCCAAAACCCTTCTCTCCCCCTCGCCCCCTGCTGGGCTGTCAATCAGTTTTAACATTCCAACAAGGCGTCGTGTGGTTGGGCAAGTTCAAAGGATGCCCCTAAGGCCCAGATGTCATTGGTCTGTCAAGGTGTCCCTCGTCCCTTGAGACCCCGCCCCTCCCACCTGGTTGGTGGCTCACCTGTCCCCTCCCCTCCCCCTGAGCTTAAAAGGTGAATCAGGCCATGCGGTCGGTATTCTGTTGGAGCTCTTCCCAAGATGCAGACCTCTGTAACCATGGAATAAACCTCTGGATATTAAACCCTCCAGCAGAATCCTCTCCTTTACTTCTTCACCATTGCCTGAAGCTTTCCTCCTGAGGTAAATGAAGTTCCTAACAAGCCTGGACTTATTTAGTGCCCAGCTGCAACCACAGCAAGCTAAAGGTGTCTCTGGCGTGATACACCACAGTTGCTGCCTTTGGCCTGGCAGCGAGGGTCAGACTGGCCCAGGCACAATCTAACTGGTAATATTGGGATTCTTATTCCAATAAGGTAATACTACAAAAGCATTGGCTAAAACTGACGGAACCAGAATTGGATCTGAAGCCCTGTCAGCCAGGTTGGTGGTAGCAGTCTGATGAAATGGTAGCTACAGTCATTGTTGGAGTGATGGATGGGATTCTATCTAAGCGGTGATCCTGTAGAAAGGTCTGATCTTTCTAGAGGTCCTGTGGTAGTTATCAAGCTCTTGTCCTCAGGGAATCCAGTGATTCTTGTGGTGTTCTGAGCCTCTGATTACACCCAGGTGGAAATGCTTGGTTCACAATGCTTGCATTTCACAATGGTGTGCTGTAATTTTATGAGTCATGCAGTGAGACTTGATGGCCCATTAGCAGATATAGCCTCTGGAGGGAGTTATCAGGTCTGACTTGAGGAGAAGATAAAGAACACCTCTCCACCTGTTTTGACAGCTTATGAAGATGGTAATGGAATACAGATTTCAGTTACATCTTACATCATAACCTAAAAAACTCCCTTAGATTTTTAAAGTTTTAATTAATTTTTATTATTTATTAGAATGTTTCTCATCTACCCTTACTTACCGCTTCATTAGGTGCTACCTCCACACTCTGAAGTTGAGGCTGGAACTGAACTGTTGCAGGAACAGCACCCAGATTTATTAATTTAATTTGAGTTTGCCCAGCTGCAGGGGAAACTTGATAGGTTTTCTATAGGACAGAAAAAAAAGTAAAATCAGTGCTCAAGGTCACTTGGAAAAATTACTATAATTACTATAATCTTTAATATTTCATGTTGAAGATGAGCATTTGCCCACTGCTCTGTGACTGTCTGACAGAGGAGACTGCAATCAGGTTTTGTTACTAGTCTCATAAGTTGCCTAAGGAAAGATGTCTCTCATCCTCAACAGACACCTCTAGAGGCCTGCTCAGATCTTGGGATGCAATGGATCACCACCCAGAGGTGTTGCCAACATCCCAACTACAGGGGAAAGATTCATTGGGCTCAGGCATGGCAGCTCCCTTTGGGGCAAGGAAGCTTAGTGGAGACAAATCCTTCCTTCCACAAGTGTCATCTTTGCACCTGCTGTGATGATGGTTCCCAGACTGTCACACTTCCCCTCCAGACTAAATCTCAGAAGAGGTCAAACATAAAAAGCTGCCCTCTGGTGGGCCAACCAAGTGTCTGGTTTCCAGCTTTTAGTCTCAGTTTAGAGATTGAGGTTGCCTTTAATGCGTGATTTGTATTAACTGCAATGTGGTGTTTTGCAGAATGGTGTTTGTTGCTTGTTAATTTTCCTATGCTAACAACAGTATTGCAATCTATTTCCCCTCCCTCTACTTCTATGCTTATATGATTGGCTCCAAATTTAGGACTCTTGATACATTTCCCCCTTAAACACACCTTTTATTCCCTGAATTAACAGCTAAATATTAATAGTAAATATTGCATGTGGCTGAACTTACATCTATTTGCACTTGCACGAGGGCAGCAGCAACAAAAGCCATGGAGCCGAGGAACATCCCCACAGTCATCTTCTTCAGGGGCCTGGCACAACAAAAGACACAACAGATTCAAGAAAAGTGACAATTCAAAGCTTCAGCTGCTTGCTTTTTTCTTTCCACTCTGGGAAACTCAAATGGCCACAACTAGCACATTATTACATTTTGGATGTTTTTACAGAAAGTGTTCTGCTAAGCTGGGAACCTCTCAATTCATAGCCACACTATCAGGAAATGCATCTTTCCTGCAGCATCCTAACAACCTGTTACTCTGCATCTGCTGGGCACAAACATTGACTGACCATGATTATTAGGTTCCTGAAAAAAAATCTGGTTTTGCAGGAAAAAAACCCCCAATCCAATACAGTTGTTAGCTGTAAAACAAGAAAGAGACAAGAAGATATACCTTTAAAAACAGAGTAACAGCTTGTCTCCATATTGCTTTGTTTAAATAAGATTGAACAAAAATGGTCAGGGAAATTTGTTGGATTAGGAGACCTCTACTGGCATGCAGTTAAGTTGTAAGGATAGATTTAGAGTATATGTGTCATTTGTGGCATCATTTATCCAGTTCAGAATATGCACAAATGAATGACAGTGTTCCCAGCATAGCACACCCCCTAGATTTTTAACAGCTATATGGAAAAACAGCAGTGCACTTTGGCTGTCTGAAAATTATCTGAAGAACTGTATTCTCTTCTGCTTCTCCAAGCATTCTTGCAACTGCCAGACACTTCTTTAACAACATTGAAAAATAAAGTGGAATACTCCCAAAGCTTCACCTAGAAGGATTCAATAAGTCACACTTCCCAGCTGAGACTGAAGAGGAAATGTTTTGTGTCTCAGTTGCTTTTTAGCCCAAAGCATGACAAATGCCAAGGATGTATGTTGTCTTTCTACTTCATTTGTTCCTCAGGAGGGAGAAGGGATAGATATAAGGGATATGGAAACCAATCAAAATCATCTCTCCTGCAATCAAAAGAATTTTGTCCTCAACTGAAAAACACTGTCACTCTTCTCTTAGATTCTCCTCTTATAATCTGTGATGCCTCTACATACCACTTGCAGTATTCTGGTTTTTTTTATGTTTTGTTGAAATATTAAACCATTTTAAATACACTTCTCTTTCATCCTTAGCTGAATGCTTGCTCTTTTCTTACATTAAGGCTGGAAGAGCCAGTTACAGAAACCAATAAAATGAGCCTCGTTTGAAATCAGGTAATAACATCAACTTACGTAAAATTCAGCTTGCATTTCCTGATTAAAGGATAAATCAACGAATCTGCAACTGGGACCATTATAACAATCAGGATTGGATTCACAATCTGGGGAAGATGAACATGAGAGAAAAATTAAATATTTTTCAAAGTGCTTTTTATAAGTGAGGGCAATATGTATACAATCTTTAAGAAGTACTTGAAATTTGTAGATAGAAAATTAACATACCTGCATTTGGTCTGGTTGAATTT